GGGTCAGCCCATTCAAGGCCCATAGCACGACCCATTATAGCCCACGACACGGCCCAACCTGATACACGTAAAATTGACTCGTGGTGTGAGCTAAACCGAGATTATTCTTATACGGGCTAGCCCGCAGCCACGTGGGCCTAAGGAGAACGGGCCGGGCGGCCCGTTCTTGCATCTCTATTTCTAAACACGGATCATGTGGTTGATTAGGAAAAAAAAAAAAAAATACACACACATGGACCCTGTGGTTGACTAGTAATAATACAAATAGATGAACAATCACTTTCAACCATACTAACTAATCCATTACCCATCTATATAGGAACCATTATATACGAAGTTCGTACAAGAAACTATCAACAAATTTTTTGTCCACAAATTTGTGTCGGCGAATAAGATCACTTTCAAACGAGTGTTGGTATATACCCAAATTTATTTATCATGCATTACAGGTGTCAATTTTTAGTTCGATGAATGGAAAATATAGGTGAATAACTCCGGATATAGTTCCCCCAATTGTATTCTGACAAACAATTATTACATCTTTCCATATATATATATGTATATATTTAACAAGTTTAATATATTATCCAATATAGGTATGTCCATTATTGTACAGAAAATTACGTATTCATGGTACAATGCATGAACCTTCACAACAATGCTCAGCTTTTTTTTTCTTTTGATCAAGATATCATAGTATTAAAAAAAGGAAAAAAAAAATCGTTTGGGATGATTAGATGGCATTTCGCAACTCTTATATGTCTCCAGATTTAAACTGTATCTTCTTTGTGATTCGGATTTGTATCATATTTTTTTGATCTTTGACTCTATTACTCATCTCATAAATTCTAAAATGAGTTTTCTTTTTTTTATTTCCTCAAATTTTTTCTAATTTTAGTAAATTGCGCACCGATGTTTAAATATGTGGTAATTGAAGTCTTAATATCTTATCAAATTTATTAAATTAACGGTTCGGGATATGAGATTCGTATTTGACCTGATTTGATGAATGACGAGTTTCATTTTTTATGTCCAAATTTCATGTTTAAAACCATCAATTTAATAACATTTATTAGTTAGTGGACCTTAATTAGTACTGATTTGAAATTTCATGATCTAGTTTGTCAAAATTACAAATTTAATATGTATTAAGAAAAAAAAAAGGAAAAGTTCACAGCACAACAATGCAATTACTCGAAGTTTGAGATAATTAGGTGGCATGTCAAAGTTCTTAATCTTCAGATTTTTATCATAACTTTTTTTTTTCATGATGTTTAACTTGGTTTATTTATGTAGTATACACAACAAAGCTCCATTATTCATGATATAAATCTGAAAATGAGGTTTTTTTTTTTTTTTTGACAGTTCCTCTAAATTTTTCTATGAATTTAAGGAAAAATAAAAAAAAAATATCATTCAAGATGGTGAAAAATATTATTTATGTCACTACTATTCAAAAATGAACAATTATCAATCAATTAGTAAAGAAAAAATAAAAGACCACAATATTATTATCAATTAGTAAAGAGAAAATAAAAGACTACAATAAACAATAATATGCTTGCATATATAAATAAAATAAAAAATAAAAAATAAAGGGAAAATTATAAATTTATCCTTAAGAGTGCATGAAATTGGACTTTTACCTCTTATTCTTGATTAATACCATTTTATTATTATAGCTATTTGATTAAAAAAAAGTTATTAATTAAGAGTAAGAGATAAAAATCATAACTCATAGGGTGCAATTGGAACTCGTTCTAAAATAATTTTATTTTTTGTATGAAAATAAAAATAAAAACATTTTCAATGTTAGACATAAATCATTTTTAAAAATGCATTTGGTAGTTTTATCAAGATATTATTTTCAGTGTAAAAAAATTCATTAATATCTCTATTTCTTTCTCTCTGCTCGAGAGAGGAGAAAACAAAAATAAAAAATAAAAAACGACTAAAATTTATTTTTCATTTCTCTCTTATTTTATATTAAATTAAAAAATTATTTTTATTTATATTTTTTATCTTTATTGTGCTAAATACTGTTTTAAAAATATTTTTATTTTTTTTTTTAAATTATAAAAAAAAACAGAATCAATTCTAAACACAGTAGTAATATTTGTCTCTTTTGCCGGTTTTATATCAAACCATGTATTTTTCTCATGAAGTTATGGCAGTACTGCAAGTTTGAATGGGCCAAATGGGCTTAATCAGGCGTGTGGGCCCTATCCACTGCCGTTAGCTTCCTTGCGTGCTTCAGGAGTTGGATAATAGCCTAAACGGAAAGAACCATGCACCTTTCCTCACTCCCATCTCTGTCCTCCTCAGAGTCTTGATGCATAGAACCTCACAAGTCATATCGTCCAAGACTTTAATGTCCGCCACACACAAATATATAAATTAAATTAAATTAAATTAAGAGAGAGAAAGAAAAAGAGAGAGACAGAGAGAGAGAGCCCTCCACTATTCATTCTTTTCTTTTTCCCACGTCTTCCAAGAAAAGAACTAGTGGCTTACAGAATCCACTTGCTCCACGTCAGCAACCAAAGATTTGCACCCATTTGAAATCGTATCCCCACGTAGGATGACCCACGTGAAATCTCCACGTCATCCAGTGAACAATAAGAAAACTAGTTGATGTGGAGATTTCACGTGGGTCATCCTACGTGGGGATATGATTGTACTTCTGAATTTATCACCACATAAAATTAAGTAGAGTTACAAGTGTACTTAAGATTGTACTTCTGCATTCCTCGATTATTTCACCATTCGAGTTTTTAATTTTAAATTTTTATAATAAAAAATTTTTAAAAAATATCACATTTAATTTTTTTTTGTTATAATAAAAAACTCTTAAAAAATATCACATCTCAATTTAAATTAAAAATTCGAATCTACGATGTTAACGGGACCATGTGGTGATAAATTTGTATCTTTGGTAGATAAATAGTTGAATTGACTTTGAATTAATACATTTACTCTTTGTCATTAGGTGTTACGTTTAAAAAATTATACAAGTTATTTTCAAATTATGTTGAAAATGTTAAATTCATTATTCTACAGTCAGAGAGATAAATACATATATAACGTAAGTTCAAAATTCAAAATTATGAAAATTTATATAATAGATCATCTCCGTGTAAATAATAATGTCAATTGTATATTTAACATTAAAAAAATATGATATGCTATCTTATTTCTATTTTTACTCGAATACGTAATGTTATTTGAAATGTTAGATCTCTTTTTTTCTTTTCAAAATTATTAAGGAAATTTTCTGGTACGCCTATCGTACCGGTAAGGCAGGTTTTTTTAACTGTTCGATTCGCGTACTTTTTAATTTTTACGTAATTTTATGAAAATTCGACAGACAAAAAATCCGACCTACTGGTATTTTGACGTACCGGAGAAAGTCTCAACTTATCAAGTTTTAAAAGTAAACTTAATTTTTAAAATAATTGAAAAATGAAAAAGCTGTAATAATTACATGTAAAAATAAACATTTTAATCAATAATAAAAAAATATTAAATTTCTCATATGTTATATGTGATAAAAAATTTATCACAAAATATAACATATAAAAAATTTAACACAATAAATAATATTACGTTAAAAAATATTTTTTATATTTAAATATAAAATTTATAATTAACATATTAATTATAATATTATATTGAAGATGCTCTCGTCATGAAATGGTATATATCTCACAAAATTAGAAAATTATATCCTACGCAGAAATGATGCATTTCCCAGGACAGGGCCATGGCCGTTGCACCACAACACTACCCTGCCCATAAATCAGTGGGGCCCATCTTTATTTTTCTATTATTTGTTCTTGATAAAATCAATAATGTTGTCTATCAAATAAAAAAGCATAGGAAAAGATTTTTTTTTTTAAATTAAAAAATGCATAGGAAAAGATTAAAGTGAAGAGAGGATTAGGCAAAATTATTCCAGAGCCGAAAGCAGAAGCACGAATAAAGAGATAATTGTGGGGCCTACTAGGAATGGTACAGAATAAAAAGATAATCTTAGATCTCGTTTATTTCGTTGATTTGAGTTTAAAATTTAAATTTTTTTATAATAAAATATTCTCACAAACAATCACATCTAACTTTTTTATTACAGTAAAAGGCTCTCATATAAAGTCACATCTCAACTCAAATTCTAAATTCGAATCAACAAAGTGAACGGGCCAATAAATACTTTTAAAAATGTATAAATGTATAAATTTATAATTTTTACTTTTTATTCTTAATTTATAATTTTTTTAAATAAATAATTATATTAATAAATAAGTATTTATTAAGAATAAGGATCAACATCCAAGCTAATGAAAAAAAGTAAATTCTTCATTTTTTTTTTTTTTTTTAAGAAGGATGCTTGCTTAACGGTGCCTAGGTTGATTAACAAAGAAAAAAAGAAGCCCAGGTGGGCGTCACGTGGGCTAACGACTCTGTTGTGGCCCAAATCTGTCCACGTAGGATGGATCGAGAATCTGTAGGGCCCATTAATAGGGTTAAGCGTCATCACCAAAATCCAAGCAAAATATCTCCAGAAAAAATACTCCCTAAACACGCAAGGTAAAGGTTTCCAGAGTGGCGGCAACAAATGGAGAATGGTCAGACAGGAGACGAAATCACATGTTGCTTATATATAACATTTTATACACTCGCGGAAAAAAATAACCAATAGTTTCTGACTATTTTCCTATGTCACCGATGTGGCGTAGATTGAATCGAGGAACATATTACATAACCTACTCCTTACTACAGGAGAACCAGCAGCGATGAAAAAGCCACGACGACTCCGGTATTTCGCATATTTTAATTCAGCTAAGTATGGTTATGCGAAATACGGGATGACGAAATTACCCTTACACAACAGCCGAAAAGGCACGGATAATTCAGTAATTATATCCAGCATATCCGAGTTTTTTTTTTTTTTTTTTTTTTTTTATATAATTATTCGGCTTCTCCGAGTTATTTCAATAAATACCGTCAACTTGAGAGTTTGGACGTCTATTTTGCCTCCACTATTTCCTGAACTTCAATACCACAAAGAAGAAGAAGAAGAAGAAGAAGGAGAGAGAGAGAGAGAGAGAGAGAGAGAGAGGGAGGGAGGGAAATGAGAGACTGCGAACTATGCGGATTGCGAGCGAGGATGCACTGCGAGTCGGACCAGGCGAGCTTATGCTGGGACTGTGACGAGAAGGTTCACGGCGCGAACTTCCTGGTGGCGAAGCACACTCGGAGCCTCCTCTGCCATGTGTGCCACTCTCCGACGCCATGGAAGGCCTCCGGTCCCAAGCTCACCCCGACCGTGTCCGTCTGTGAGAACTGCGTCGATTGCCATGGCAGGAGGCTCGAGCGAGGTCGCGATGAGGAAAGCCAGGGAGGAAACGACGAAGACGACGAAGAAGATGAAGACGATGAAGATGAGATCGATATGCTTAGTGTACATGATGAAGATGGAGATTCTGACGATCAGGATGAGGACGGAGAGAATCAGGTCGTTCCGTGGTCGTGTTCCTCTTCGGCTCCTCCGCCTCTGTCGGCGGCGGCGGCGGCTTCTTCGAGTACAACGAGCGAGGAGGAGGAGAGGCTTAATTCAGTGTCGAAGCGAATGCGAGAGAAAACGGATCTGGAGTCCGATGTACGCATCTTTCAATTTTGATGTAATTTTCCTTTCTAATTTTCTCGGAAGCCAAACATGGTTAACCCTAAGTTATTCAATTTTCAGGATGAAGCGACATCTTCGGGATCATTCCGGTCGGTGAAGCGGCCGAGACTGGGCGAAGACTACCGATCAGTGGCTCAGGACGATCACGGTCAAACGGAGTCAGCAAGGTCAACGGCGATCATTAGCTCGCTCCAGAGGCTCACAAAGGACGCGATCACAGACGTCCATGATGCGTCCGCCACAATCCTAGGGATTTGCAAACTCAGCAGAGATCAGAGCCGTTGATCTCTCTTAATCGGTCCCTCATTTTGCACTACCTTTTTTCTGTGTTTATCCATACCTAACCATACGGCTTTGCTTTGTTTCTTTTCTTTTCTTTTCTTTTCTTTTCTTTTCTTTTCTTTTCTTTTCTTTTCTTTTCTTTTCTTTTCTTTTCTTTTCTTTTCTTTTCTTTTCTTTTCTTTTCTTTTCTTTTCTTTTCTTTTCTTTTCTTTTTGATTAATTACATTGCTAATACAAGATTGAATTCTTCTCATCATTAAGCCTGTAAATTAGAATGTACTTTTTCCTTTATTTTTCTTTTTAGATCATGACAGTAATTCTTAATTATTATTTTTAATTGGTAATTACGTTATATTCCATTTTCAATTTTTATTTATTTATTTTTGCACATTTTTATTTCATAATAATCGTTTTCTGAATACGCGGATTGGTGGACCCCGCAGTAGCAGAATATGAATTTTGAAATGGCAAGTGTCATATGGTAGAAAAAACAGAGGAGAAACAATAGAACGTAAAAGGAAACAAAAAGACTTAATGGACAATATTTAGCGGTTGAAAACTTGTGGTTGTGAGTTTTGCCACTCGTAAAGTATGGGGTTGAATGGATATATGAAAATGAAAGTGTAGCGCCGAGTCGGCGGCAAAACCGGGGACAACTTGTGGAAAGCTAGAGTCAGACAAGTGTGAAAACCAGGACAACTTGACTGGATTGGTTCTTAGCAAAAAAAGTCAAAAATACAAAATACAAAATAAAAAACAATAATAATACAAAATAAACTTGGCTGGATTAGGTTGACCTTCAATTCCCACACGGTTTTGGTTACCATATATTTTTTATTCATTGAAGAATTTTGTTCTAAGGAATTAATAATTACCCATTTAATATGATAATTTGTTTTTAAGAGAACTGTTTTTAGTTGGTTCGGTCTGGTTAGTTTCCGATGTCTTTTTTGTTCGGTTCAATAATTTCAGTGGTTTCGGTCTGATTTTTACATCGTTTATTTTAAACACACTTTATCGATATGGTTTTGTTTTAAACCGTAAACTTGATAAAATATAAAGTTTTTTTTTTAAAAAAAAACACAATATTATTGGCACGTTATGGTAGAAAGCTCCAAATTTCGATATTTTTGTTAAGTGTCCTCAAACTATTTTTAATTTTTTCTGTTTTAATATTATTATGTTGTGAGCTATCAATAGGGAGTGTTTTCTTTTTTGGTACCTTACTATAAAAAAATTTTATTTTATTATTTGTTTAAATAGGTCATGTTGTATTGTTTTCCTGTTTGCGTCATTTGGGAAGGTAAGATTGTGATCTTATTTTCTGCTACTTATGCGAGGATAATCACGTTGGTTGTGAAATACACTTTTGGTAGAACATTGTTTTTTTTTTTTAATTAGTGGATGAGCATCCAAAGTTTTTCTATTAGTTTGTACGTAATATGTAATAGTTTAAGTGAAATTAGGTTAGATTATGTATCTATATACCCTTTCGTTGTTACTTGTTACTTGTTAATTGGAAGATTTGAACGCTTGCGCCTAACGCATTAAGATGAATTGTTGAGAGGCATAGGTTTTTTCCTTCTTGTCTGGTGATGTAAGTCATCTTCAAAGGGAACAAGTGCCCACTATTCTATTATCTCAAAAGGAAAAGAGTTTGAGAGAAGGAAAAAAAGAGGCAATCACAAAAGCTAGATAAAAAAGTGTCTTCCGCCAAAGAAAACGAAAAAATAAAAAAAAAATAAAAAAAAAATAAAAGAGAAAAAATTGTGTGGCACTTACGTTTTAGCTTTTACACCTGCATACATTAGCCGACGATCACAAATAATTAAAATTCGACGAAATTTATGGTAGGAGCTTTTTTTCTTTTACCTTATCAGTAGAAACACTTATTTTACCGTTATATTTCCTCTTTAACGGTTTTAATTTGTGACTGGAACTTTAAATTTTCAACGTAAAAACTTACAAATCAAACAATTAAAAATTTAATCCAATAATTAAATAAAAATGCCTATCATACTATAACAGGCATCTTAAAATTAACGGGATTTCTTATTCTTATTATAATGCATTTTATTTAGAGTTAAATTTAAGGAATATTTATATTTCTATACCAATGTTTTAGGTTTATTCAAAAATCTATACATTCAGTTTTTTATCTCATTAAATGTATATTTTCAAATTAGATTTAACATACAAATCTATACTTTATCTTGATTAATAATTAATTTTGACTTTTAAAATGACTAAAATATCCTTAAGAAAAGAGAAAAAACTAAAACTTTATAATATTACAAAAATTAAAAATTAAAAACACAAAAAAAAAAAAACTCATTTCAATGGTATTTTACATATTTTTCTGGTCAAGACAGTAAGTATATAGTTTATTTTTTTTCTTTTTTCATTTTTATTCAAGCGTATTTTAGGTATTATTTAGGTTAAAATTGAGGGTTGAATGTGAAAAGATATAAATTTATGTATTAAATCTAATTTTAAGTTATATATTTAATAAGATGAAAAACCGAAGGTATAGTTTTTAAATAAATTTAAAATATAAGGTATAAAAAGATAAATATACTTAAATTTAATTTAGAATACATAAAAAGCACAAAATATGCAAAAGGATAAACATATTACAGTTCTAACGGTTTAATGAAGAATGGAAAATAACAGGAAAAAAGAAAAAAAGAAAAAAAAAAGAAAAAACTATGCCTATAATACAAGGGTGGATCATTTTTAGAAAATTCTTTTCGTATTATATAAGATTGTAGGGTCGACTCGGGTATATGACCCAAGGCAGAGAACCAAGATTTGCTTCATTCTGGCAAAGTCAACTTCTTTGAGTCATAAAAAGTCAGTTGCACGTGCTTTGCTTCAATCTTCATTTGGGATAAATCGAATAAGAAGACGTTTGGTTAGATGATTTAAATCATGTAATTCGAATCATTTTCAATTTATGTATATTTTTTATGAGAAAAAATATTATAACGAACTACGAATCATGATTCGAATCAAGGAACGAATCCCTCTATTAAACATCTTCTAAACTAATTCCAAAGGATATATAGGCATAAGCTACGGTCCGCTTGGCGGACCGGTTCTTCCACACGTGGCGTAAGAGGAGATGAGGAACAAATTTTGATGCGCCAACTTGCAGGTTAGAACTTGGACCTCAACTAAGCGCCAGCCAAGTAGAACCGACTACTACCGGTGGCTGGGCCACTGTTTAGGTGGCAATTATGTAATTAAGGAGGTATATCATTGTTGAAGGCCACATTTCATGGGCAGAAAAATAATTTAAAAATCCTCAAAAATTCAAGATTTTTTGTCGCTGAACGGCAAGATAACATGTAAGCATCGTAGAGTAACATTTTGATATGTACAAAGTAACATGTTAATGAACAGTGTATCAAACGTGGTGTTATTAGTTAGGACAAATTGCACGTTTAAGCCCAATTTATAAGCTACCTTCCAAAATTGCCCCCAAACTTAATTCTTTAACATCTGTTCACATGAATTTGTGAACTCCTGTAAATTCCCCCCTTTTTGTTAAGTTTTCAACGGAAAATAACATTTGGCGTGATTTTAAAGTTAGAGGTTGAGTGTTGAACGTGCAATTATAAAGGTACTCTTGAGAATTTTATTTTGAACATCCCACCAAAGCATTCAAAATAATTCTTAAACTCCTATAAAGTTGGAATAACATGTAGCAGATAAACCTCACATAAAAACATTCTGTCTTTACCTCTATGCCATTGTCGTTGGTACTAGTATTCTCACTTTAAGCATTGCATTGCTTAATTTTGGACAATTAACTTCTCAAAATTGCTTTTTCCCTTCAATTAATACAGCAACAAAGTTGCACTTCTATGATAGAAGCTATGGGGGATGAGTTTGGGCGTGTGTTTGGAATTGGTTCTAAAATGATTCTGTTTTTTATATGAAACTGGAAATGAAAACGTTTTTAATCTCAGACAGAAATCGTTTCTGAAAATGCGTTTGGTAGTTTTATTAAGATACTGTTTTTAGTATAAGAAAAAACTGAAATTCCGTTTGGTTATACAATTTTTATTTTTAATTTAAGAGCACTTAGTTAATTCATTTAAGCCCACACCTACTTGCCAAAAGAAAATGGCATCAACCCAAAACTGAAAATGAAAAACGACTTAAATTCATTTTATGTTTTTATGTCATTTTACACTAACCAAAAACCGTTTTTATTTTCATTTTTTCACCTTTTTTCCTCCAAACACATTTTCCTCCTCAATCTCTGTTTTTTTTGTCTAGAAAAACGTAAAAAATGAAAACAAAACTGATACTAAACACGCTAGTTTTTCAACACTGATTAGATTAGAAAAGAAAAAAAGAAAACAACTACCCTTACCAAACAAAGGATTACTTTACTTAATTTTGAGGAATTTACTTCTCGAAATTGCTTTTTTCCCTTCAATTGGTGGAACATCAGAGTTCCACTTCTTTGATAGAAGCTATCGGGGATGAGTTTGGGCGTCTTTGCTTAGCATGTTGTCAATTTTTGTGTGGAGGTTAGCTAGTTTTTCGACACTAAGTAGATAAGGAAAAAAAGACGAAAACAAGTGTCCTTACTAAATGAATGTATTATGTTAAAAAGTTGACGGGTTGTTTTTTTTCCTGAAATTAAATTTTGGTGGATAACTAGGTCTCGATGCTTGTGGTTATGATGTAGGTCAATATCATCGTATTGCTAACACAAAAGTAATGATGAAAAAATAACGCATGCGCATCAATTAATTAAGTTAAAATCGAGAGCACGAAACTATTATCTGTAATTGTATTTGAATAATGTATAGCTAAAAAATAATTTTTATTAATCGTTAGTGAGACCAAATCGTTTGTAACCTCTGTTAGCGTAATTATGATTAGACTGAAATATAAAGGAGAAACCGTAACCCATGCAACGCGGTAAAGTCAAATTTGTGGATGAAAAGTGAGACTAAACCCTAACATAATGAAAATTGTTGTAGATGAGAAAGAAGTAAAAGCATACAAGGTACGGAAATAGTAATGCCATACAAGTCACAAAAATAGCATACAACGGTCTCACATTTGAATTTTTTCGGCACTTTTAGGAGACTTTTGGTCATGGATTAGAACTATTTTTTATTTACGTGTATTTTTGTGAGAGAAAATACTGTAGCGAACGATGAACCATAATTCGAATTAGAATACGAATCCCCTTACCAAACGTCACCTTAATGTGGAGGAAGCCCCAGAGAGTTGTTGTTGTTGCCAAGGTAATCTTGGAGACCAAAGTCATGGATGACAGTGTTGCACCAATTAGGCGAACCCATGCCTAAGTTACCATCTTCAGTCAAGGATCTTTACACATTATCCTGCCCCGTCAGCAAACACAGTTTAGTGGTTCCGATCTACAAATACCATACTTTACATACGGGTCAATGAATACACATGACAATAACAAAATTATAATCTCCATTCTATCGTTAGAGAAATAACATATCATTTCCAGAGGATTAATACTAGGGGTTCTTCAGTTGTATTTTTGAGTTATGGTGATTTGAGTGTAGATATTGAGTTGAATTTGAGTTATAATTTGAGTTGAAATTGTAACTTAAGTTTGTGTTTGGATGTGCACATTTGAGTTATGATTTGAATTGAGAATCTATTTGAGTTTGTGTTTTAGTATGTCAAAACTTGAATTTATATTTAGATAGTATTTTAATAAAAAACTCATTGGTGATGAAAAATTTTAATAGGGTATATGGGTGGGGTTTTATTTGTCTCTTCGTTGTGAACGCGTAGAAAAAAATTCATTTCAATCGGAATTAAAATGAAAAAGTTATGACGTTTTTAAGAATAGAAAAAATATTGTTCATTAACTTGAGTTTGAGTTTAAGAACTTGAGTTGAAAGAAAAACTTGAACTCAGATTTTAGCCTCAAACTCAAGTTAAAACTTGAGTTAAAATTCAAATTTAAACTCAAATTTTACAAACAAACATTAACTTGAAAAAAATTATAACTTGAGTTCAAATTTTTTTTAAGTTTTACTTCAAAAGAACAAGCCCTTAATCATCCCGGAATAACATGTCCATAAACCCCACCATCGTGCACAAACTAAACGACAACAGCAGTGCATTGCCCATACTACAACTGGTCTTAAGCTTAATTAACAGATGCATAGTTCCTACAATAGTTGGAATGTTAATAATATATGTACAAATTTCATCATTCCACGCCCATTATAAATATACTAAAAGAGAGTGGGGCTTTACTGTTCATACAGGCACAATTTACTGTTTCTTCTACAATAAAGTTACCCATTTTCTCGGCCAGGGTTTTATTCTCGGCCGCAAGCTCTTCTTCCTTGGGCTGCTACACGTCTCGCTCATGTCGAGCGTTCAGTCGTTCTCTCAGGTCTTCCCTGCGTACGGACGAAGATTCTACTGGGACCGCATCCCTCCTTCTCATGTTCTCCTGCAGTCGAGGGGGTATCCCTTGGCCATTTTCTGCTTCGACCGCGGCCCTCTCCTGGGCTCTTCTCTTGGCAACTCGTTGCCTGCTCCCCACATATCTATTCGACCTGGCTGGGCGGGGGTTGTTGGCCCCACTGTCACTGACCCCCTCGGCGTCACCACGTCAGTTACCAATTACTGGGTTCCCAACGGCGGCGTTCACCGGGTTCATCGGCGCGTCCTCTAGCGGTGGCATCGAGTCTGGCCTTTGTTCCTGTCCGGCGAGGGCTGTGGCCATCCTTTCCACAGCCACAACAAGTGTTTCTACCTTCCTTTGGAGTTGGTCAAGGTGGTCTGGGGGGTCTCCAGTGGCCTGTGGCTGCGCCCTATGGTTAGGTCGTACCCTAGCGACTTCCTGGCCACCGTTGGGTGGGTTCACCGGATTCCTCCCTCCTTGGGCCGAGGTCTGGCCTTCTTGGTTTTTCTGGGTTGTCGTCATGCTGCGGGTCTTTCTCAGAGGAGCCATAGTCACTGCGTTTTGCTGGATTCAATTTTTGGGTTTAGGCCCTCCTTCTAGTGCCAATTGTTGATGGTGGATTTTGATCAACAAGAAATTACTAACTCTCCGAGAACACTCGCACTAATCACTTGCGTATTAATCAGGAATTAATAGTGCCGAATAAGTAAATTAGACAAGTGTTTATAGTGGTTTGGCCAAAATTCTTTGCCTAATCCACTTGTGCATGCACTAATATGTTGTAGATTACAAACTCTCTGGAGTAGTATTTTTTGTGTGTCTAAAAAACGTAATGAACTTTTGTGGCTCTATTTATAGGCCTTATACATATGAGAAACCCCTTGCACTTCCCGAGAAAATCAACCTCTGTCCCTTAATTTGGGGATTTGGCTGCTGGATTTTTCTGATTATTGCTTCCCGGTCAGGTTAACCACTATTTACCCAATGCCTGATTTCCTGATTCCAACAGTGGCGGTAGGTGATACAGTGTATCTTCCCTAGGACTGATAGCGGATTTGACCGGGCTAACAAACACAATTCCAATTAAACTCACTTTTTTAACTCCAATCTTGAATTTGGAGTTATTGAAAAGAACGCAATTTTTATGGAGATTCTGACGATCAGGATGAGGACGGAGAGAATCAGGTCGTTCCGTGGTCGTGTTCCTCTTCGGCTCCCCCGCCCCTGTCGGCGGCGGCGGCGGCTTCTTCGAGTACAACGAGCGAGGAGGAGGAGAGGCTTAATTCAGTGTCGAAGCGAATGCGAGAGAAAACGGATCTGGAGTCCGATGTACGCATCTTTCAATTTTGATGTAATTTTCCTTTCTAATTTTCTCGGAAGCCAAACATGGTTAACCCTAAGTTATTCAATTTTCAGGATGAAGCGACATCTTCGGGATCATTCCGGTCGGTGAAGCGGCCGAGACTGGGCGAAGACTACCGATCAGTGGCTCAGGACGATCACGGTCAAACGGAGTCAGCAAGGTCAACGGCGATCATTAGCTCGCTCCAGAGGCTCACAAAGGACGCGATCACAGACGTCCATGATGCGTCCGCCACAATCCTAGGGATTTGCAAACTCAGCAGAGATCAGAGCCGTTGATCTCTCTTAATCGGTCCCTCATTTTGCACTACCTTTTTTCTGTGTTTATCCATACCTAACCATACGGCTTTGCTTTGTTTCTTTTCTTTTCTTTTCTTTTCTTTTCTTTTTGATTAATTACATTGCTAATACAAGATTGAATTCTTCTCATCATTAAGCCTGTAAATTAGAATGTACTTTTTCCTTTATTTTTCTTTTTAGATCATGACAGTAATTCTTAATTATTATTTTTAATTGGTAATTACGTTATATTCCATTTTCAATTTTTATTTATTTATTTTTGCACATTTTTATTTCATAATAATCGTTTTCTGAATACGCGGATTGGTGGACCCCGCAGTAGCAGAATATGAATTTTGAAATGGCAAGTGTCATATGGTAGAAAAAACAGAGGAGAAACAATAGAACGTAAAAGGAAACAAAAAGACTTAATGGACAATATTTAGCGGTTGAAAACTTGTGGTTGTGAGTTTTGCCACTCGTAAAGTATGGGGTTGAATGGATATATGAAAATGAAAGTGTAGCGCCGAGTCGGCGGCAAAACCGGGGACAACTTGTGGAAAGCTAGAGTCAGACAAGTGTGAAAACCAGGACAACTTGACTGGATTGGTTCTTAGCAAAAAAAGTCAAAAATACAAAATACAAAATAAAAAACAATAATAATACAAAATAAACTTGGCTGGATTAGGTTGACCTTCAATTCCCACACGGTTTTGGTTACCATATATTTTTTATTCATTGAAGAATTTTGTTCTAAGGAATTAATAATTACCCATTTAATATGATAATTTGTTTTTAAGAGAACTGTTTTTAGTTGGTTCGGTCTGGTTAGTTTCCGATGTCTTTTTTGTTCGGTTCAATAATTTCAGTGGTTTCGGTCTGATTTTTACATCGTTTATTTTAAACACACTTTATCGATATGGTTTTGTTTTAAACCGTAAACTTGATAAAATATAAAGTTTTTTTTTTAAAAAAAAACACAATATTATTGGCACGTTATGGTAGAAAGCTCCAAATTTCGATATTTTTGTTAAGTGTCCTCAAACTATTTTTAATTTTTTCTGTTTTAATATTATTATGTTGTGAGCTATCAATAGGGAGTGTTTTCTTTTTTGGTACCTTACTATAAAAAAATTTTATTTTATTATTTGTTTAAATAGGTCATGTTGTATTGTTTTCCTGTTTGCGTCATTTGGGAAGGTAAGATTGTGATCTTATTTTCTGCTACTTATGCGAGGATAATCACGTTGGTTGTGAAATACACTTTTGGTAGAACATTGTTTTTTTTTTTTAATTAGTGGATGAGCATCCAAAGTTTTTCTATTAGTTTGTACGTAATATGTAATAGTTTAAGTGAAATTAGGTTAGATTATGTATCTATATACCCTTTCGTTGTTACTTGTTACTTGTTAATTGGAAGATTTGAACGCTTGCGCCTAACGCATTAAGATGAATTGTTGAGAGGCATAGGTTTTTTCCTTCTTGTCTGGTGATGTAAGTCATCTTCAAAGGGAACAAGTGCCCACTATTCTATTATCTCAAAAGGAAAAGAGTTTGAGAGAAGGAAAAAAAGAGGCAATCACAAAAGCTAGATAAAAAAGTGTCTTCCGCCAAAGAAAACGAAAAAATAAAAAAAAAATAAAAAAAAAATAAAAGAGAAAAAATTGTGTGGCACTTACGTTTTAGCTTTTACACCTGCATACATTAGCCGACGATCACAAATAATTAAAATTCGACGAAATTTATGGTAGGAGCTTTTTTTCTTTTACCTTATCAGTAGAAACACTTATTTTACCGTTATATTTCCTCTTTAACGGTTTTAATTTGTGACTGGAACTTTAAATTTTCAACGTAAAAACTTACAAATCAAACAATTAAAAATTTAATCCAATAATTAAATAAAAATGCCTATCATACTATAACAGGCATCTTAAAATTAACGGGATTTCTTATTCTTATTATAATGCATTTTATTTAGAGTTAAATTTAAGGAATATTTATATTTCTATACCAATGTTTTAGGTTTATTCAAAAATCTATACATTCAGTTTTTTATCTCATTAAATGTATATTTTCAAATTAGATTTAACATACAAATCTATACTTTATCTTGATTAATAATTAATTTTGACTTTTAAAATGACTAAAATATCCTTAAGAAAAGAGAAAAAACTAAAACTTTATAATATTACAAAAATTAAAAATTAAAAACACAAAAAAAAAAAAACTCATTTCAATGGTATTTTACATATTTTTCTGGTCAAGACAGTAAGTATATAGTTTATTTTTTTTCTTTTTTCATTTTTATTCAAGCGTATTTTAGGTATTATTTAGGTTAAAATTGAGGGTTGAATGTGAAAAGATATAAATTTATGTATTAAATCTAATTTTAAGTTATATATTTAATAAGATGAAAAACCGAAGGTATAGTTTTTAAATAAATTTAAAATATAAGGTATAAAAAGATAAATATACTTAAATTTAATTTAGAATACATAAAAAGCACAAAATATGCAAAAGGATAAACATATTACAGTTCTAACGGTTTAATGAAGAATGGAAAATAACAGGAAAAAAGAAAAAAAGAAAAAAAAAAGAAAAAACTATGCCTATAATACAAGGGTGGATCATTTTTAGAAAATTCTTTTCGTATTATATAAGATTGTAGGGTCGACTCGGGTATATGACCCAAGGCAGAGAACCAAGATTTGCTTCATTCTGGCAAAGTCAACTTCTTTGAGTCATAAAAAGTCAGTTGCACGTGCTTTGCTTCAATCTTCATTTGGGATAAATCGAATAAGAAGACGTTTGGTTAGATGATTTAAATCATGTAATTCGAATCATTTTCAATTTATGTATATTTTTTATGAGAAAAAATATTATAACGAACTACGAATCATGATTCGAATCAAGGAACGAATCCCTCTATTAAACATCTTCTAAACTAATTCCAAAGGATATATAGGCATAAGCTACGGTCCGCTTGGCGGACCGGTTCTTCCACACGTGGCGTAAGAGGAGATGAGGAACAAATTTTGATGCGCCAACTTGCAGGTTAGAACTTGGACCTCAACTAAGCGCCAGCCAAGTAGAACCGACTACTACCGGTGGCTGGGCCACTGTTTAGGTGGCAATTATGTAATTAAGGAGGTATATCATTGTTGAAGGCCACATTTCATGGGCAGAAAAATAATTTAAAAATCCTCAAAAATTCAAGATTTTTTGTCGCTGAACGGCAAGATAACATGTAAGCATCGTAGAGTAACATTTTGATATGTACAAAGTAACATGTTAATGAACAGTGTATCAAACGTGGTGTTATTAGTTAGGACAAATTGCACGTTTAAGCCCAATTTATAAGCTACCTTCCAAAATTGCCCCCAAACTTAATTCTTTAACATCTGTTCACATGAATTTGTGAACTCCTGTAAATTCCCCCCTTTTTGTTAAGTTTTCAACGGAAAATAACATTTGGCGTGATTTTAAAGTTAGAGGTTGAGTGTTGAACGTGCAATTATAAAGGTACTCTTGAGAATTTTATTTTGAACATCCCACCAAAGCATTCAAAATAATTCTTAAACTCCTATAAAGTTGGAATAACATGTAGCAGATAAACCTCACATAAAAACATTCTGTCTTTACCTCTATGCCATTGTCGTTGGTACTAGTATTCTCACTTTAAGCATTGCATTGCTTAATTTTGGACAATTAACTTCTCAAAATTGCTTTTTCCCTTCAATTAATACAGCAACAAAGTTGCACTTCTATGATAGAAGCTATGGGGGATGAGTTTGGGCGTGTGTTTGGAATTGGTTCTAAAATGATTCTGTTTTTTATATGAAACTGGAAATGAAAACGTTTTTAATCTCAGACAGAAATCGTTTCTGAAAATGCGTTTGGTAGTTTTATTAAGATACTGTTTTTAGTATAAGAAAAAACTGAAATTCCGTTTGGTTATACAATTTTTATTTTTAATTTAAGAGCACTTAGTTAATTCATTTAAGCCCACACCTACTTGCCAAAAGAAAATGGCATCAACCCAAAACTGAAAATGAAAAACGACTTAAATTCATTTTATGTTTTTATGTCATTTTACACTAACCAAAAACCGTTTTTATTTTCATTTTTTCACCTTTTTTCCTCCAAACACATTTTCCTCCTCAATCTCTGTTTTTTTTGTCTAGAAAAACGTAAAAAATGAAAACAAAACTGATACTAAACACGCTAGTTTTTCAACACTGATTAGATTAGAAAAGAAAAAAAGAAAACAACTACCCTTACCAAACAAAGGATTACTTTACTTAATTTTGAGGAATTTACTTCTCGAAATTGCTTTTTTCCCTTCAATTGGTGGAACATCAGAGTTCCACTTCTTTGATAGAAGCTATCGGGGATGAGTTTGGGCGTCTTTGCTTAGCATGTTGTCAATTTTTGTGTGGAGGTTAGCTAGTTTTTCGACACTAAGTAGATAAGGAAAAAAAGACGAAAACAAGTGTCCTTACTAAATGAATGTATTATGTTAAAAAGTTGACGGGTTGTTTTTTTTCCTGAAATTAAATTTTGGTGGATAACTAGGTCTCGATGCTTGTGGTTATGATGTAGGTCAATATCATCGTATTGCTAACACAAAAGTAATGATGAAAAAATAACGCATGCGCATCAATTAATTAAGTTAAAATCGAGAGCACGAAACTATTATCTGTAATTGTATTTGAATAATGTATAGCTAAAAAATAATTTTTATTAATCGTTAGTGAGACCAAATCGTTTGTAACCTCTGTTAGCGTAATTATGATTAGACTGAAATATAAAGGAGAAACCGTAACCCATGCAACGCGGTAAAGTCAAATTTGTGGATGAAAAGTGAGACTAAACCCTAACATAATGAAAATTGTTGTAGATGAGAAAGAAGTAAAAGCATACAAGGTACGGAAATAGTAATGCCATACAAGTCACAAAAATAGCATACAACGGTCTCACATTTGAATTTTTTCGGCACTTTTAGGAGACTTTTGGTCATGGATTAGAACTATTTTTTATTTACGTGTATTTTTGTGAGAGAAAATACTGTAGCGAACGATGAACCATAATTCGAATTAGAATACGAATCCCCTTACCAAACGTCACCTTAATGTGGAGGAAGCCCCAGAGAGTTGTTGTTGTTGCCAAGGTAATCTTGGAGACCAAAGTCATGGATGACAGTGT